CAGAAATCCATTAAAAATGACTGGAAAGAGTCCCAGGGGACTAAAAGAATCTGTGTACCCCCCTAAACAACTCTGACAGGTCAGGCTGAGCCACTGGGACTTGTAGGATGTTTCAAAAGGCTTCCTGGGACAAACAGTGGTGAAAATTTGGGAACTATGGTCAGGACCAGGCCCGAGACCCTTGAACTGAGACAACTTGGGAGGGTCAGGGAGCCCAGCCCGAGGCCAGATCGCACAGGGGTAATGCTTGATGGATTGTTGGAGCCAGGGATGATAGCGGGTATGATACTGTTAGACCATAGAGTGTCCCTCAGTCCAAACTCCGGAGAAAGTGACCTATGTTCATTTTTCTGTTTTATATATGAAAATCTTCAAACTACACAAAAGTAGAGAGAATATTTTAGTGAAGTCCCCAGATTTCAAGTGATCAAACATCTCTTTTTCCCTGCATCGATCTATATCTTTTCCTTAAGCATTTTAACATAAATCCCACACACACTATGTCTTTTCTCCACTGTATCCTTGAGGATGCATCTCTTTTTAAAAAGAGGACGTTGGGGCATCCCTGGTGGCGCAAGGGGTTAAGCACCGCACCATGAAACAATCCGCAGCCTCTGCAGCACAAGTTCGATCCCCGGCCGACCAGGGAGAAACCCACATGGCATGGCAGACCTCTCCTGACTTGCCCGCTGCTCCCCTCAGTAGTGTATTTCGGTCATTCTGCCTGTTCTGCTCCCCACTCTGTCTCTGATGAATCCTCTTACCACCCCCACCCCGCCCCGCATCTCTCGCCTGTACCCCAGCTCTTGTGTGCATAAATAAATCTTTAAAAAAAATAAAAAGAGGACGTTTTCTTATGTCTTTACTACATAGAACAAAAATGGATCATTCCTCCATACCACCTAATCTCTAGTCCATAGTTAAATCCCCCGGTAGTCTCAAAAATAGCTGCATGTAGCTGTGACATGCTGCTGGCACCCATGGCTGCTACACTGGTACCCTGGATTGCCTTTCCTGCCGCTGCAGCTTTCACTGTAGGGATTTCCAAAACAGGGAAGAGGCTTCCCCCAAGGACTGTTGCTCTTCCACCAGCCTCCATCAACTGTACCCTCAGTGAATCACAGCTCTTTGGGTCTCCCAAAGGGCCTTTGCTTCTTTGATAGAAAACTGGCTGAGGGCCTCCCTGGTGGCATAGGCGGTTGAGCGCCACACTGTGAAGATGTCCGCAGCCTCTGCAGTGTGGGTTCGATCCTGGCCGGTTGGGGAGATACCCACATGGCGCCGCAGACCTCTTGTGGCTCGCCCACTGCTCCCCTCAGCAGTGTATTTCAGTCAGTCTGCCTGCTCTGTTCCCCGCTCTGTCTCTGGTGAATCCTCTCACCCTCCCACACTTCTGGCCTGTACCCCGGTTCTTGTATGCATGAATAAAAATAAATCTTTTAAAAAAAAGAGAGAGAGAAACAAAACCTTGGCTAAATTGCTTCTAAGTCAGAACAGCTGAGCAGCAGCATGTGGTGGCACATCTAAATTTCTCTGACTGAAGACACCTGGCAACTGGCTGTGCTGCTTGCCAAGGGGTTTCCTTTGCTCTAAAGAACACTCTAAGGCAATTGGTGAAACCTTCTAAAGTCTGAATTTTATTGCCTGATGACATCATATCAATATGAATTTCCTGATTTTGGTGATGGAGCTGAAGAGAATATGTAAAAATAAAGAGCACATTTTTAGAAAATATATAAATATTGAGGGATAAAGGGACATCATGTCTGCAACATTCAAATGGTTCTGAATACAATGGGCATCTATAAAGAGAAAATGATAAAGCAAGGAGGGCAATGTGTTCACATTTGGGGAATCTTGGTGAAAGGTTGTAGGGTGAAGAAAATGTCAGGCTTTTCTGCCCTCCTGCCGTCAGGATAGATGATGGATCCTTGCGGTCCTGAATGCATGCCTGATGGCGGGCACCTGGAGTGGGGTGTGGGCATAGGTAGATGGGATTCACCTGGGCTAGGACTGTGCTTTTAAGGGCGGCGTCACGGGGACACCAGCAGAAGCCGAGAGAGAAGCAAGAGAAGCAGAAGCTGAGAGAAGGCTGGAGAGCCCAGATAGAATGAAGACCTGCTGGGGGCTGGGAGGCCTGCCAGCCTCCCGGCCCCCCAGCACCCCTGCCTGCTGTGTACCGGGTAAATCCCAATAAAAGAACTGCAAAACCACTGAGGACTCTGACTCCTCCTTTACCCGGTCTGCTGGATCCTAGAAAACTTGCACTGTGTCCATTCCTGCCCTTTACAAAGGTTTATGGGAATTCTTTGCATAAATTGAATAAAACTGACAAGTCGGCTATCTCTGCTGGGTTCTCCTCAGAACATTACATGTTCTGTTTGGGAGTATTTTCTCAGGCTCTCTTCCTTATCTTTATTTGCCCTAGGCCCTCTCTTCCATTTCCATGGTATTAATGACCAACTCCATGATACTCTCAAATATATCTCTTGATCCCAGGCTGCTTTTCTTAATGTCAGATTGCTTGTCCAGCTGCCTTTTCATCTCACCTCAAATGCCTCATTACTATCTCAAACTCACCATGCCCCAATCTGAGTTCATATTCTTATCTCTGCGCCACAGACTTGCTCCCCCCTCCATGGGCCTCCTACCAGAGGGCACAATGCTGACCACTTGGCTCAAAACAGAAAAAATATACAAAACTCCAGTGGTCATTTTTGGCTGCTTTTTTTCTCATCCCTCACATCCAATTTTGCCTCTTGACACTTGACTTTAAAACTATGGAACAGACTTTTCATTGAAAAAATTTTTGATTGTTCATTAAGATGTTCTGGGGGATCTGTAATCCTTAAAAAGGTTTGTAAGCAGCAATACTTCATAATAAATACTCCTGGTTTTATACCATGGTATAAATACTCCTGGTAATATCTTGCTCATGTTTTTAAAGCTGGCTACTAGTTATTAGTTACTGACACCGTGTGTGTGCATAGATATTAAACACTTGTCTCAATCACATTGTCATCTGTCTTGATGAATATAAACAGAGACACTTTCTGTCAAACGAAATGATGCCATGGTGTATCATTCACATAATGTTGTGTAGGGTAAGGAAAAATGTCAGGCTTTTCTGCCCTCCCACCATTAGGATAGATGATGGATCTGCGGTCCTGAATGCATGCCTGATGGCGGGCACCTGGAATAGGGTGTGGGCATAGGTAGATGGGATTCACCTGGGCCGAGACTGGGCTTTTAAGGGCGGCATCACCCGGATGCCAGCAGCAGCCGAAAGAGAAGCCCAAGAGAAGCCGAGAGAGAAGCAAAGAAGCAGAAGCAGAATCATGGGAGAGCCCAGATAGAGTGATTTGCTGGGGGCTGGGAGGCCTGCCAGCCTCCCGGCCCCCCAGCACCCCTGCCTGCTGTGTACCGGGTAAACCCCAATAAAAACCTGTAAAAGCCACAGAGGGCTCCAGGTCTCCTCCTTTACCCAGTCTGCTGGATCACAAAACCTGCCCTGTGTCCATTCCTGCCCCGACATGCTGCCTCATCTTTTTTGAAGCATTTACTTTGCCACATTTCTTTTGTGACTGCTGGTTCTTGAGAGGGTTAGACTTCAGAGAACCGCATGAACAAGACACCTTCTTGCACACTGTGTGTCTGTAGCAGGACCCACTGGGAACAGAGCAGATATGAAAAATCAGCTGCAGGATGAGGAATGGAGAGTGATGATGCTACCGAAGCTGAATATAAAAGTGAGATACAATTGGTAGAAAAGTAATGGGACTTCATAGCCATCTGAGAGAAGCTTAAGAATGCTCTAAAGTATGGTATGAGAGTTCCTGAAGGGGCAGTGTGACCCACTGACATGTTTTTAGTATACCTGAGTGAATTATTTTATAGTGAGAACCATAAAACAGGTTCTTGACTTGTATATGCCCTCCAGGAGCAGATCTACCCAGGAAGTGGTGCTAATGGGCAGTTGGAGAGAAGAAAGGATGTGGTAAGTGACCAGAGTCACTGAGGGGACAGGCTGGGCCATTCCACAAAAACAAGGAATGAGATTATGGAGGGGTCAAGGCCATAGAGGTATTATGTGAAGGCACTGGGACTTGAACTTGGGCATGTCTGTCTCTGAGGTCTATACTCTGTCCCCTACACCAGAGGGTGGGGGCTTTCAGAGTGCTTTTACCCTGGGCAGAAATTGCTGGTTCATTTCTGCTTCAAATTATTGTCTACGAAAACAAAGACACAAACCTGCAATGGTGTCGTGGCAGCCCACAGGCTGGCAAGGCAGGCGGGGGAAGGTGCAAGGAAGGGAAACTGGGGAACAGGGAGGCTGGTGGGCAGGGAGGCTGGTAAGCCTCCGGGCCCCCAACAAACCTTTAAGCTCTTCCTCTGGGCTTCCTCGGGCGTTTTCTCATGGTCTCACCTCTTATCACTTGTCCTCTCATAGCTGTCCTCCTGCAGGCTTCCACCTCTGAGTGATGCCGCCCTTATATTCCTGACCTCTAGGCTCTGGTGTGCACACCTACGCATGGCCACACTCATGCTCCAGGTGTCCACAATCAGGCACACATGCCCTGTGCCACTCCCAAGCACCTCCTGCTTCAACATGATCAAGGCCGCAGGTGATAGCCACAGAGGCTAGTGGCGTAAAAAGCCTGACCAATTCACTTATTCTACAAACGGTAGCTCCACCATTCCATACTGGAATTCCTTGCAAAACCCAGGGATCTTCCCTGCCAAAGACCTATGATTTATATCCATATTTTGTTATTTGCTTTCTGCATGTCTCGTGTCCTTTTCATTTGTCTATTCCTCCTTTGCTACCTTCCTTTGCATTCAGTGGATTTTCTAGTGTTCTATTTAATTCCTTGGTTGATATTTACTTTTAGAATAGTCTTCTGGTGATTGCTCTAGAAGTTGTAATGGACATCTTAATCACAGTTTTCCTCAGATTGATGCTAATTTAATTTCAGTAGACTAGAGAAGCTTTGCTCCAACGTACCCCTTCTTTGGCAAAATCTGTGAAACACATGTCACTGGGAGACTTCTTCGGAATGTGATGGACTGCATTTTAATTCCAAATTAGTGAGCTGACAGCACATTATTCAAAGTTGGACAAAGTCATGATAAACCAAGTACAAAGGTCATGATAAACAACAGTTTCACTGATTTCTAGGCCTAGAGTTCTTTATTCTCTCACAAATGTTGTGTAAGAATAAAGACACAGCAATGTGTGAATCCTAGAGGAAGAGGGCAGGCACTTGAATGACTCAAAGCACCTGTAAGCAGTTGTGCTGGACTTTATAAGACATTCAATCACCCCTTGAATAGCCCTAATGCGGTGCTCATGGGTTACGAAGCAATAGAATAAATTTCTTCAGCTGTGATAAGATTTAGTAACTCTTGAATGATGCCCTGTTCATGAACACTGAGATGTTGTTCTTTGGCTAGATTGAAGGCTCTGAAGGCATATTCCTGTGCCTGAAATAAAATTGCAGTGAAAAAAGGAAGTTGTTATAGGATAGCATGATATTGGGAAGCCCTGTATGTGCTCAAGCCCAGAAATGTCAGAAAGCCCTCATCAGCTTCTCACACCAGCCACTGAGCTCTTATTGGGCCCTATAGCCAGCCACACTTGTGCTGAGTGGGGCAGGGGACCCCAGAAAAAACCACTTGACTTGACAAGCTGAGTACAAGTAAGAACACCTCCACAAAGTGGGACCTTAATCAGGGCCCTCTGGACCAGCATTGGAAGCACAGAGGTGATAGATGCCACCTATAAATGGCCACCCTGAGGCCACATGGTCCAGAGTTTTGACTTGGACAGAGATTCCACAAGACTTCTTGGGACAGAATCTTACTGAGGCTGGACTCAACAAATGAGAAATGTCATGAGCATCTGAAGTATGTGAGGCTTACTCTGAAGGCAAAAGCTAGTGCAATAGAACAAAACAGCTAAATTCTACTGGAGGAATTTCTACCTCCATTTCAGACACTTTTTTCTGGGGAAACTTGCCTCTGAAGAATTCATCATCAGGTAGTAAAGCATAGCCAAGGTTTTCAGAACAAAGATGGTTTTCTGGGGGGCTTTGGTAGATGTAGTTTCTCGAATTTTCAAGATTGAAGTCAGGATCTGAATGGCTTCTGCTTCTTGGGCTTCATCTACAATGGAAAGGGAAGAAAGAAGAAACAGGCCCGAGGGCATTGAGCCTACCCTTACTGGTAAGCACCAAGCACGAAGCTGTTAGGGACACCTGGACTTTTGGCCACTAGAGGATGACGCAAACCACAGCAAGTTGGGCATCTGGAGGGCTGCCACATATAGTAAGGGAGCTGTTTCATGTGCTCCAGCTTTGGCTGGCATGTCATTACCAGAGTAATCCTAAAAAGTGCTCACTCCCACAGGTCCCAACACTGCTCAGGTTTGTCCCTTCAGAGTACTGAGCTCCAATCTCTTAGGTCCCCCAGACAGGCCATTTGTCACAGTGGGCATCCTTGAATCTAGCTCAGCATCCAGGATATAGCAAGAGGAGGGAGCTTGTGTGCAGGGTAAATGAAGATTGCTCAGGCTTTTGTGCCATTTGGCCTCTGTGGCTATCTTCTGCAGCCTTGAATGCAGGAGGTGCTTGGAAGTGTGGGCTCAGGGTACCCATGCCTGATGGTGGGCATCTAGAATATAGTGTGGGCATGTGTAAGTGGGCACACCTGAGCCGAGAGACTGAAGATATAAGGGTGGCATCACAGAGGACAGAGAATGGCAGAGGACCGCATAACAGAGTGCAATGGAGAGTGGCAGAGAATGCCAGAGAGCCCCTGGCACCCTTGTCTGCCCTGCACCTGGTTGCCGCACTACAAATGGTGTACAAATGGCCTACTCCAAATGAAATGTCTTTTCATTAAAAGCCAGAAAAAGTCACTGAGGGCTCCAGGACTCTCCTTTACCCATCTGCCTGGATCCATAGGAAATCTGCTCTGTGCCTTGCTGGCATAAAATGGTGTTTCTTGCTCCTACAGCACCTAATTCTTTTTCACTGAACCCAAAGCCACTTTGGCCTTTGTTTCTTCTGCCTGAGTTTACTATTTCCTTTAGCGGTTTTCAATCCTACATTAATCACAAAATAATTACACGCAAGCAATAGAAGAAATAAAAATTTGAACTCGGCAAAAATGATAATGGCTACCAGAAGGAATAGGGAAAAGAGTGAGGTGGAGGAGAAGGGAGGCAGATGGGGTACAGGCATGGGTGGTCTCGTGGAGGCTAAACAAAAGAAAAAAATTAGATGCTCTGCAGAAATCATAGTGGGCTCTGGCTGGGTCCTTTTCCGTTTAGATCTGCCCCTTATTATTAACCCTCTGAAAGGCTGTGTATGACACTAGGAATCTGAATTTTTCCCAACACTGGTAAAAATCTCTCTGACTCCCATGGCTCAGGGTCCCCATCAGCAAATTGGGAAAGCTGGCAAAGATGTACTCCATGACAGGGACAACTGTTCCCCCTCTTAGGGGTAAGTTCTGTGGGTGAGGAGGGATGACATCACTGCTCTGTTTTCAGGAGAGAAATGCCACTTACCCAAGCCAGTATCAGTCTCAAATTGCTTGCCCAGTAAATCTATATGTTGGACGCGATTCTTTAAGAGAACTTCATAGTGATCATTCAAATATTTATTCCAGATCTCAGAGACCTGTTGGGAAAGAAGATGGCAATCAGACAAGCCGATGAGACCTTAGTCATTGGACCAGCTAGGTAGGAGAACAGCACCCCTTGCAGACTCCCTGTCTCACTGTACCTGGAGGGGAGGGGCGCCTGAGGAGCCCAAAGAGTGACTGAAGTGAGAGCACATGGCAGGCTGATCTTGGGACAGACCTAGTAGGGTCTAGTTACAATGGCTACCATTTGTTGAGCACATACAGCTAAGCCTTTACATCCTCACAATATCCCAGCTGCGATCGTATTCTTATTATTCCCATTTTACAGATGAATAAACTGAGGCTCAGAGAAGTTAGGGTCACACTTGATTTTTGGTAAGAGCTGCTGTATGCACAGCTAGAATTTAAATTTGGTCTGTACGACTGCACAGCTCATTTCTTTTCAGCTATACCACAATGCCTCTTTCTCAGAGGTGGGTCAAAAATATGAATAAACAGTCATAGCATGAAAGCCTGCCCTGCACACAGAAATGGTTCCTTGCTAAGTGAGATGTTACAGTATGACTATAAACAATATTTTATTATATTGGACAATTTAAAATCTTTTACATATAAAGATGGAAAATTTAAAGTATTTTGATGTTCTTTGATCACTTCACAGGATCTTTCAGCAATGAACTTCCCTTAAAAATCTTACCTCTTTCTCTATCACACATCTCAGAATACCCACATGACTTGCTTCTATGGGTCTGACAGAGTACATAGGGGTTTAGCTGGAGGGGTTGTTTCTTATTGACCCATCATTCATTATTTGTCAATTATCCCATGGATGCTAAGGACTAGTCTGTTTTGGTAGTGGAGAAACAGGAGGAAAGTAAAGGGGAATCTATCATTCACCAGGCTATGTAATCTTGGACAAATAAATCACTTCATTTCTCTGTGTCTCAAATTTCTCATGAATAATCTGATGCCCGTTTTAGACACATGGCCTAAGTGTCAAAAGTCAGCTCCCATGTCCCGCAGCTCACCTTGGTGTACAGTGTGTCTGCCAGATCCAACTTATTAAGGCCATAAAAGATATTAGCCAGGTGGAAGTAGCCTCCTGAGGTCCTGATATTCTCTGTTCCAAATGCACAACTGGCAAAATAAATCTATAACAGAAGGAAGGAGAGTATTTGAGTGGTCTTTGTAAATCATAAATCTGACAAAGGATTTATTTCCAGTATATTTAAGAACTTTTACAACAGCCCAATTAAAAATGGGCAAAGGGTAAGAATAGACATATCTCCAAAAAGATATACCAGTGGCTAATAAATATATAAAATGATGGTCAACATTACTAGTCATTAAGGAAATGAAAATAAAACACAATGATATACTGCTTTGCACATGCTAAAATGACTATTCCCAAGAAAGACAGAAAATAACAATTATTAGTAAGGATGTATAGGAAATGGAATACTCATACATTGCTGGTAGAAATATAAGATGGTACAGCCTCTTTGGAAAACAGGCAGTTCTCAAAAAGTTAAACATAGAGTTACCACACGAGCCAGCAATTCCAATCTTACGTAGATATTCAAGAGAAATGAAAATGTGTTGATACAAAGAATTTTACCCAAGTGTTTATAGTAGCCTTATTCATAATAGCCACAGAGTGGAAACAACCCAAATGTCCATCAACTGATGATGACTAAACAAATTGTGATATATCCCTATGATGGAATACTACTCAGACATAAAGGGAATGAAGTATTGATACACATAACATGGATGAATCTTACAATAATTAGGTTAAGTAAACAAATTCAGATGCAAACAACCACCTATAATTCTGTGTATATGAAATGTCCAGAAAGGCCATAGAGACAGAAGCAGCTGCCTGAGCTGGGGCTCAGAAACTCCCCTCTGGTAATACTATCCAATACTGAAATCCTAATGGACACCTCATAAATTTTGGAAGAACAGATCAATTATTACCCTCTTGATCCTATCTAACATTTATACAGGGTTTTATAATTTAGAAAGCACTTTCATATACATCCAGCTCATTTAAATTTAATAACCACACTCTGAAGTAGACATTGAAGTTATTTAAAAAATAATAGCCAAAGTGCTGCACATATATTTGTCCTATTATTAAACTCTGCAATGACCCAATGAGGCAGAGACTATTTTATGATTTTCATCTTGTCAGTGATGAAAAAGGTTAAATAGTTTGCTAAAGACCATGTGGCCAGTGAGACAACAGAGCTGGACACAAGTAAAGCCTTTCTTTTAACCAGTGTACTGCCCTGTCTCGCTTTATTATCCTCAGAGCAATTGAGACTTGGAGAAATGATGTGATGTGGTCAACGGGCACAGTCAGGAAATGGAAAGGCTTGAACCCAAGTCATTAGAATTGTGTTCTTGCTAATATCCCCAGCAAATAGTTTGTTGTTAATGGAAAGTTTTAGAGAAATGCTTCAGGGATTGGGAGGGAGGATAAACAGAGTTGTTCTCAGAAATATTCAGGTGTTAAAATTTAGCTTGTTTACATCATTGGCTAGATGATAACGGGCTTCCTCGTAGTTTTCCTCAGCTATGCAGAGAAGGCCCAGGTTCCGATGTAGCAAAGAGTGGGTGGCATAACTACATTCGGCTGATTTGAGGACTGTCCACTGGGCTTGGGATAGATACTCCTCAGCCTGAATGATCTGACCCATACCTGCCCAAAAGAAACAAAGATTATAATTCATATCCTGGTCAGAGAACACATGATGAAATAAGAGACATCATCACCCATTTACTCACTATTTCATTCACATAAATTACTATTGATACACAAAAATTTGTACACAAGTTCTCACAGAAGCCTATTCATAACAGCCAAAATATAGAAAAACTTAAATATCCATCAACTTATGAGTAGATATTCAAAATGTGGCCTATTCATAGTCATGAATGGAATATTATTCAGTCACAAAAAAGCCCATGCTATGGTGTGAAGGAATCTTAAAAACATTCTAAGTAAAAGAAAGCAAACACAAAAGGCCACATATTGTATGCTTTCATTTATATGAAATGTCCAGAATAAGCAAGTCTATTGAGATAGAAAGTAGAGTAATGTTGACCAGAAACTATAGGAATGGGACTGAGGGGCAATGTGAGTGACAGTGATACAGGGTTTCATTTTGGGGTGACAATAATGTTCTGGAATTGGACATAGTGATGTTCACTTAATCTTGTGAGTATACTAAAACCACTGAATTGTACTTTGAAAGGCTGAATCTTTTAGTATGTAATTTAAAATATACATATAGTTATATTTAGTATGTTTTATGTGCCATACCTGGTACTGAGTGATGCATTAGAATATTGTGTAAGTTTCAGGTATGCATCATTATAAGTCAACATCTGTATATACTACATTAAGTTTACCACTGAAAGTCCAATTCTATTCCTCATTATACAACTGACCTCTTTGCCTAACTTTCTGTTCTTGGTCTTTCCTCCCAGGCTTAGTTCATATGTTAGTGTTATTTATTATTTTATTATAGTTTATAATAACATGTCACTGACTTAAAGGAGGAGCAGTAAAGAAGGAACAGCCTACAAGAAGAAGAAACTAATTCTTCATGACTGAAGCTCCAATTAAAATGGGAAGCTACTAGATGAGAAGCAAGAGGCCTAGGTCCATTATCCTAGCTCTTATGAACACTGCAACTCATATCTTCTGAGTTTTGTCTACAAAATAGGAACTTTAGAATGAGGCTACAAACTCAAAGAGTAAGGTACAGTAATGTGGTTTATTTAGACTTTTCACATTTAAAAGGGCAAATGAGTCTTAAGTAGGATTGTTAAGATGGGAAAAAATTGGGAGAGGGCATCAACATATATTTAAAATGAGTGGGGAGGTTCAGGCATGCTCTCTTACACATGGTGCTTGCCTGGAGAGGAATAGGGATGGGGTGCACAGAAGAGAGACATAAAGTTGCCAAAGGATGATATTAATAGTACAAGGGGTGGATGGAGAAAGGATGGCTAGTTTAGGAGCTCTGACACTTTTTCTGAAGGGAGAGATGCCAGGCTTACACTGTTCAGTGAAAGATCTGAGAGAGGTTATGAGGTGAGATTAGGCAGGTCTTGGTGATGAAAGCAAAGGGGCACAGAATAAAACAGACACAGATGATTCAAAGGTGTGACTGGGAGCTGCTCAGGGGAAGAAAAAGGCATGAGTTTATCTTTAGGGCCTGATACGTGTCATACACTCTGCCAGGCCATTTGCATCTGTGAGTTATATCTTCTTCCAAGACATAAACATCAGAGGAGGAATTTACCAAAGTGGGAACTTCATTCATTCATTCATTCAACCCTGTGCTCATCAAATTGATTGGGCCTCTGCTGGTGAAAAAAACCAGACATGATCCCTGACCTCAAAATGCTTAGTGTCAAGTGAAGTAGGGACACAATAAACAAACAAAAAACTGGTGCTATAAATGAAATGAACAGAGTGAGCAATCAAGAAAAAGCTAGAAGAAACCTCTGTGAATGACCAGGAAATTACCTCTCTGAGAAAGTGACAGTTATGCAGATACCTGAAGGGTGAAAAGAATCCTGCCATGGACAAAGGAGAAAAGAGCATTCCTGGCAGAAGGAAGAGTTGTATGAGCACCCCAAGGTATAAACAGGCTTGATGTCAAGGCTCACCCACCCAGTGAAGAGAGAGGGCGCTCCTTCCCTCCCCCAAGCCCCCCTCCCTCCTCCCAGGGCACTGACAACAGCGCAGGGAGGAAGAGTAAGGCAGTTCTCTTTGAAGTGTTACTGAAAATGTCATTTCTAGTTGATTAAAATTCCCAAGTTTTACCAAAGAAAAAAAAAGATTAAATGCCTGTTATTTTTCTCACTCCAGCCTAGAGGAATCTCCAAGATAGGAAAGAGGCATGTGTGGTGTAATGTGATTTATTTAGACTTTCAAAAAGGTTGGCACCGTTTTAAATCACTGACTGTGACAGTTACAATGAAACCTCCCATTTGGACAGCACTTCCATTTGGAAAGTGCTTGCAAAGCACTTTCATGTTCATTACACCTGAACTCAGTCACCATTCCAAACGATCCTGTGAAGAGGACACAGCAAATGCTGACACTGTGCCCACCAGGTAGCAAGCATTGTGAGAGCACTTTGTGGGGGGCTTCTCTGCACTAAGTATTGTTGCTGATGTGAAGACACTAGGATGAGTAAGAACAAAGTCAGCGCCAGTTTCCCCTGAGCTAGTGTAGGAGGGAGACTTTAAATAATTTCACCTATGAATGTATAATTATTGTTGAAGTAAGTGCCCAGGAAAAAGGAAGGGGCTTCTAAGTGGGGATATAAAAAAGAGACATGACCCAATCTGGGGGCTTGAAAAGGGCTTGTAGACAAGGGTGTGGTCACTCTTGAGCTGTGACTTAAAAGAAGAATAGAGTTAGCTAGGTGAAAGGGAGGATAGGGAGAGGGGAGGAAGTGGCTAAAGAAGAAGCTTCCAGAACTTCAAGAACAAGGAATTATCACAGTAACTCTGAAGAACACAGAAGCCAGTGTAACTAAAAGGGAGAGGGAAAAGCATATGAAATAAGATGAGAGAATTCATAAGGCTGGACTGAGCAGGGGATTAGAGATAACTTTAGGAGTTTGGTTTTTATTTATTGGAGTGACCAGATGTATTGTATATAGGGGCCAGATTGCAGGGAGGCAGAGAAGGTGTGCATTTGTGATTTACATCTGGACCCAGGTTAGTCCAGATGAGAAATGATGGACATCAGACAAGGGCCATTTTTTCAAAATCTCATAGCTGGTTATTGCAGAGAGAAACAGAACCTGGGTGGTATTTCCTCAACAAGTGCTACTCCCACTAGTTCTGAGGAGGGACAGGTCAGATTGGGAGTCAGAGGTGAGCAGGGTGAAGAGGGCATTCTTGAGCGAAGTGGTCTGGTAAGGGAGTCAGAGCTCCAGTGAGTAAGAAGAGGCTGCATGCAGAAGAGGCAGTCAGAATGGGGAGACACAGCTATGACGGGGAAGAGAAAGGGTTGGAGAAACTAAAATTGAGTAATATTTTTTAAATAAATGACCTTTAACCTTTAAAAGCCTCAGTCTTTGTTACCCACCTTGAACCTAGATTGTATGTAGATTCTATGTAAACTGGGCTACAGCTGACATTTTGGGGTCGTTGCCTTCTCTGAATTACAGCATAGAAAAACCTGGCCTCTAGGGATAGAAAATGATACAGATATGGAGAGGGAAGCAGAGAAAAGAGATAAGGCCCAAGAAAGAGAAACAGCACCAGCCTTAGTTTCTTGCAGTTTACAATCTGTGGTCCCTCATGTAGACTCAAATACCTTAAAGACACTCAGCTTCCTAAAAAATGTCCTTTTGCTTAATCCAGCTAAGAGTGGGTTCTGTCAGTGGCAGCCAAGTCTGTACATCTACCCCATCCTGCACAAAATGCACTCTTCCACTAAAGGTGTCTTAGTGCAACCAGCACCGCTGGACTTTTGACCACTGAAAACATCACCCAACATAGCACTTTTTAAGGGCTCCAGGGAGGTCTCAAGTCAGTTTCACTTACCAAGGCAGGCCTCTGCCAACAGCAGGTAAGCAGGCACTAGCTCTACTGAACTGAGGCCATGCACATTCATGCGGAAGCGAAGAGAATGCAAAGCTGCTGGGACGGCATCTTTATATTTTCCTTCAAAGAGGTATTTCTGGGCTACGGTGTAGCAGAATTCAATCAAATGCTTCTGTGGGAGAAAAAACAGAGTGTCTGAGAGTCTAAAGGTGAAAAGCAAGGTGGGTACAGGTACACTGGAGATAAGGCCAACACCTAAGGAATGGGTTGAGGGCACAGAGTGAGTCTGCCTATATTAAAGTAGATGTGAGACTCAAAATAGGTGATACAAAAAGGCAACCTGGACTGTGAGTTCCTCCAGGTTCAGGAATATGTCTTTTATTTTAGTTCAGTGCTTAACAAAGAAGGATAGGCTTCCCCAAGATGTTCAGAACAGGCCTCCTCAGGAGGTACCACTGTGGCATATGGATTATTTTGAGCTGAGGCCAATCCAGTCCCTATAAACTCAAGAGGAACTTTTACTGCTCCTTTAACTACCTAGAAAAATAAAAATTGGGGGTCTTACCTAGAATTAGGATTATTACCAGAAATATCCTTTGTATCTGAATAACCTATCTACATGGCAGGGCAAACATCTAATGATAGTTTCTGCTCTTTATCATATGAATCACCTCTCCTTATCATATGAATCCCCCTCCTCTCTCCTTGAAACCAGAAGGTCCCTATTCCATTCTTTAGTTTAGGATATATACCCCCATTTTGCCTCATTGTTTTTAGAATCCTCATGTCTATGTAGATTCCCTGTATGTGTATAATTACATTTGTTCTTTTCTCCTACTAATCTGATGTTAATTTGATTATTTGACCAGTCCAAGAAGAACATAAAGGGGAATGAATACTCAATATAAAGTTATTAAATGAATTAATTATCCTCATATTTATAATAAAACTATAGTTTAGCAAAATTGTCATGTCTTAAATGATCGAAAACTTCCTTACTATTTGAGCTAATTTTGAGAGAAATTTCTTAGTTATCCTGCTTAGCTTGTATCAGGAATACCTATAGCTCTAAGGCCTCTATGCAACTGTCACAACACTAACATTGATGAATCTGGTATTTTGAGATCTATGGCTTAAAAATGCTAATTATTTTAGAATAACTGAGACACAATCACTGCCATGGTGATAAGAGCTAGTTTTCACAATGTCCTTTACTTAGGAACTAATATATTCATACTTCATTTTTGGACCTTCTACAATGTGCCTAGGCTCTTATCATGGTACTTGGCTTATGTGGATGTTATGGCAGGATTTCATCCCCTCCAAATTAACCCCTAGTAGCTCAGGAGAAAGAGCCTTTAATAGTGGGGTGATTTTAAATGAGTTCATCAGGATGGCCCTGAGTCCAATCTAACTGGCGTCCTTATAAGGAGAGGGAATTTGGATACACAGAGACCGCAGGGATGTGAGGACACAGCATGGAGGCGGCTATCTGTAAACCAGAGAGGCCTCAAGAAAAAAACAAACCTGCCATTGACCTTGAACTTTAACCTCCAGAACTCTGAGAAAATACATTTTTACTTTCTGTATTTTGTTCTAGCAGCTCAGAGAGACTAATATAGCAGTATTTGGTAAATACTGCTGTATTTTGTTCTAGCAGCTCAGAGAGACTAATATAGCAGTATTTGGTAAATATGTGAAGAACAATGGACAGAATGGTGCTGAGGACATAAAGACACAAAACAAGGGCACTGAGGAGAGGCTACATTGCCATGACCTTGACACAGTGTGCCCTTTGTCCAGGAGTTAACCCTGTACCAGTCCCAGGGGACCTACCTGCCGCTGCTGCAGCTGCTGTAGGCCATGCTGCCGTTCTTCCTCTGAATTGTAAAAGGGCATGGAAGTGCGCAGTGGAATTAGCAGTTGACAGATCTTCTCGTGAATGCTGACCCAGTCAGCTTTTTGATGAACCACACCACTGACGATGAAAACATGGACTCATTAAGGGCCCTACGACTGGCCTAGTCCCATATACCAGGAAAGTAAGCCTAACACAAACCCACAGGGAGCCCACAGCTCTTCCTGACACAAATTTCATTGCTTTCAAGTGGTTATTTTGTTGGTGTAAAGGTATGTTGTGGGGTGGAAGGAGGATTTTTTTTTTCTGGAGGCTCTGGTTCACACTCCAAGTCATGTGGTCATACTCTGTCTATTCTGCTTCTGTGCTTACTTATTAAGAACAAAGACACCTTTACCTTAGCATTGTCTTAAGGTTATTTTCAAAAATAGCTGAACACTGAGGCTGATGGATTTGAGGGTCCTTTTCTTGGGTGAGGGAGAGGAATTCACCTTTGATGAGGCTTTTTGAGAGGCACTCCCCCACAGGTGGTGTCCCCGTGGCTCTGGAGAGCACCATGAGCATTGCCTTCTGTACACCAGGAAGGCCACTTAGATAAAACACACCATGAGTGCCCTCCAATTCCAGTGGTGCAGCAGATGGCCTTGTGTGTGGCTATTTAATTTCAAAAATGAGATAAAATGTTCTACCATTTTAAAAGTAAGGAAGCACGGAAGGATGTGGAGAGATTAGTTACTATAAGCCTATACTCCAAAACCAATTGTTTTTTTACCTCTCCAGAGGGAAGCACTGGGTACAGTTTGGGTTACAGGTTTCTGACTGTTTCACATGCATATTTGGTATTTCTTAACATTCAAACAACATAGATATAGACCTCTACATTGTTGCAGAAAAATTCTATCAAGTAGCACTCCTACAGAGTATCCACTGCCACTCATAAATAATTGCCTCTGTAATGACTCCCATATCTACCTAGTTTTGACCCTTCCTCCAATCATGGGCTGTTGTTTATTTGCACATTTTATTTTGAATCTAAAAGCTAAGTTATGGAAAGAACCTAAGTACCCAATGACAGAAGAATGGATAAAGAAGATGTTGTGTGTGTGTGTGTGTGTGTGTGTGTGTGTCTTGTCTAATTGCCCTGACAGAACCTCTAATAGAATAATGCATAGAAATGGTAAAAGCAACATTCTTATCCTATTCCTGATTTGCAGGGGTGGGGGGAGATTATAAGTCTTTTTTCATTAAGTATGATGTTAGCTGTGGGTTCTTCATAGATGCCCTTCATAGATGCCCTACCAAGTAATGGAAGTTCCTTCCTATTCTGGTTTTTTTAGTGTTTTTATCATAAAGGGTATTGAATTTTGTCAAATGCTTTTTCTGCATCTATGGAGATGGCCATGTTGTTTTATACCATTATACCATGACTGGCCATGTCAGTTATACCATTATGATGGAGTCTTATATTGACGTTTGTATGTTGAACCAACTTTGAATTCCAGGGAGAAATCCCATGTGGTCATATGGATAATCCTTTTCGTAGCTGCTGATTTGGTCTGCTAGTATTTTGTTGAGAATTTTTGCCTCATTGTTTACAAGGGATATTGGCCTGTAGTTTTTTTTGTTTGTTTGTTTGTTTGTTTGTTTGTTTTATATCTCTGTTTGATATCTGGTTTTGGTATCAGGATAATACTAGCCTCATAAAGTGAGCTGGGAATTATTCCTTCCTTTTATGTTTCTTTTTTTGGGGGGTGGGCATGGGGAGAGTTTGTGGAAAATGGTGTTAATTCTTCTTAAACATTTGATGGAACTTGCCAGTGAAGTCACCTGGTCCTGAGCTTTTCTTTGTGGGAGATCTTGACTACTAGTTAAATTTCCTGCTGTAGATCTAGACAAATATTGTATATCTTCTTGAGTTGATGTTGATAGTATGTGTATTTTTAGGAATGTATTTCATTTAGGTTATCAAATTTGTTGCCATACTATTGTACATAATATTCTCTTATAATCTCTTATTTCTGCAAAATTTATAGCCATATCCCTGTATTCATTTCTGATCATAGTAATTTGAGTTTTCTTTTCTTGATCAGCCTAGCTAAAAGTTTATCAATTTTGCTGATCTTTTTATAGAACCCACTAAGTATTGGTTTTGTTGACTCTCTTGTTTTCCTACTCTCTATTTCATATTTCTGTGTTACTCTGTAGTGTTTCTCTTTTTCTGCAATCTTAGACTGAGTTTGTCCTTCTCACCACCCCTAATTTCTTACGGGGAGGGGTGCTCGGTTATTAATTTGGTATCTCCTGTCTCTTTTTGTTTGTTTTTTGTTTTGGTTTCTTTTAGTAATTTTTTAAATATCATTGCTCATTTTAAAACAATATTTGCTTCCCCCCACCCTCTCTGGTGTAGTCCCCATGGAATTTCCTTCACCAATGCACCTGTGCACCATCACCTCAGTCTCCTGTGCTCCTCCTTCCCTCCCTCTCACCCCCTCCCTCCTCCTCCCCTGCAGTATGTCTCTGATTCATAATTGTCTGTTTTTGCTCTGTTGTGTTTTGTACTATTATTTTTTTACACTGATGTCTTATTTAGTTCCCCTATATTCCTGCTACAAGTGAAACCATCCAATATTTTTTTTTCCTTCTGGCTTTTTTCCACTGAGCATAATTCCTTCTAGCTCCACCCACATTGCTGCAAATGGCATCAGTTTATCTTTTTTGATAGCTGAATAATATTCCATTCTGTATATATATCACATCTTCTTGATCCAGTCATCTATTTTTGGGCATTTGGGTTGTTTCCAGGTTTTACCTATTGTAAATAGTGCTTCAATAAACATAGGGGTGCAGGTGTTTCTTTTGAATCAATGTTTTTGTGTCCTTTGGGTAGAAGTGGAATTGCTGGGTCATATGGTAGCTCCATTTTTAGTAGACTGAGGAACCTCCAGACAGCTTTCCATAGTGGTTGGACCAGTTTGCACTCCTACCAGCAATGTAGGAGAGTTCCTATTTCACCACATCCTTGCCAACATTTGTTGTTGCTAGTTTTTTTAATAAATGTCATTCTTACTGGTGTAAGGTGGTATCTCAATGTGGTTTTGATTTGTATTTCCCTGATGATAAGGGATGTTGAACATTTTTTCATAAGCCTGTTGGCCATTTTCATTTCCTCTTTGGAGAAATGTCTTTTAAGTTCTTCTGCCCATTTCTTGACTGGATTGTTTACTTTGTTTTTGTTGAGTCGAGTGAGTTCTTTGTATATCTTTGTGATCAGTCCCTTATCAATTGTATAGAGTACAAAAATTTTTTCCCGATCAGTGGGGTATCTCTCTGTTTTGGTTAATGTCTCTTTTGCTGTACAGAAGCTTTTCAGTTGATGTAATCCCAGGTGTTTATCTTTTCCTTGACTTTCTTTGCTTTGGGTGATGAGTCTTTAAAGATGTTACTGAGATGTATGTTTGTAGTGTTTTACCTATATTTTCTTCTATATATTTTATGGTTTCAGGCCTTATGTCCAGGTCTTTTATCCATTTTGAGTTCACTTTTGTGCATGGCAAGAGGTAGTAGTGGTCTAGTTTCATATTTTTGCATGTGGTGGTCGTTTTCCCAGCACCATTTATTGAACAAACTGTCCATGTTCCATTGTATATTCTTTGCTCCTTTGTCAAAGATTAATTGTCCATATAAGTGTGGCTTTATTTCTGGGCTCTCTATTCAGTTTCATTGGTCTGTGTGTCCGTTTTTGTTCCAATACTAGTTTTAATTATTATGGCTTTATAGTATAGCTTGAAGTTTGGAAGTGTGATACTTCCTTTCTCCTTTGTTTTCATCAGTAGGACTTTGACTATTCGTGGTGTTTTTGTGGTTCCATATGAATTTCATCAGTATTTGTTCTATTTCTTTGACAAATGTCATTGAGATTTTTACTTGAATAGCATTGAATCTTTATATTGCTTTTGGTAGGATGGCCATTTTAATAATGTTAATTCTTTCAATCCATGAGCAAAGGATGTCTTTCCATTTCTTGTGTCTTTTTCTATTTCTTTTAACAGTGTTTTATAATTTTCTTTGTAGGTCCTTCACCTCTTATGTTAGGTTTATTCCCAAGTATTTGATTTTTTTGTTTCAATTATAAAAGGGGTGGTTTTCTTATTTTATTCTTCTTCAGATTGTTTGTGTATAGGAAGGCTACTGATTTTTGTGTGTTGATTTTGTATCCTGCTACTTTACTAAACTGGTTGATTATTTTGAGTAGTTTTTCTGTGGAGCTTTTAGGGTTCTCTATGTATGTTATCATATTATCTGCAAATAGTGATAGTTTTACTTCTTCTTTCCCTATCTGTACTCCTTGTATGTCTTTCTCTTGTCTTATTGCTCTGGCGAGGACCTCCAGTATTACACTGAAGAGCAGTGGTGAGAGAGGACATCCTTATCTTGCTCTTGATCTTAAAGGAAAGGCCTTCAGCTTTTCGCCATTGAGAATAATAATGGCTGTGGGTTTGTCATATATGGCTTTTATCATGTTAAGCTATGTTCCTTCTATCCTGAGAATTTCAAGTGCCTTCGTCATAAATGGATGTTAGATTTTGGCAAATGCTTTCTCAGCATCTATTGATATGATCATGTGGTTTTTATTTTTCTTTTTGTTGATGTGTTGGATTACACTGATGGATTTTTGTATGTTGAACCATCCTTGTGCCCCTGGGATGAATCCCACTTGATCGTTGTGTGTTATCCCTTCGATGCATTGTTGGATTCTGTTGGCAAGGATTTTGTTGAGCATTTTTGCATCAGTGTTCATTATGGAGATTGGCCCATAATTTTCTTTTTTTGTACTGTCTTTGTTTGTTTTTGGTATTAGTATAATGTTGGCTTTGTAGAACATATTTGGTCGTATTCCTTCTTTTTCAATTTTTTGAAAGAGTTTGTGTAGGATAGGCACTAATTCACTGCTGAACGTTAGGTAGAATTCATTTGCGAAGCTGTCTGGGCCTGGGTTTTTGTTTTTGGGGAGTGCTTTGATTACTGCTTCCATTTCGCTGCTTGTAATTGGTCTGTTAAGGTGCTCTATTTCTTCTTTATCCAGCTTTGGATGATTATATTGTTCTAGGAATTTGTCCCGC